CCCCACCCAAAAGCGTTGCGGGTAGGTGTCAACCTTTTTTTTTTTTAACCTTTTTTTTTTTTTATGTAAAAGACAGGCATTCAGGAGGGGGCTGTATCACCTCCCGCATGTCCACAAGCCATCACTCAGCTGCCCTCCAAACACCAAACCTTTAAAAATCACCATGCCCATTGAAGTCAATGGAATGGCGCTGCAACCAAACACTTGTCGTGCAGTTGCGGCACATATTTTTATATATATATATGAAAACAGGCATTCAGGAGGGGGGCCATATCACGTCCCACTCGCCTGCAAGCCGCCGCTCAGCCGCCCTCCTCAAAGCAATTCTATAAGAGTCACCGGAGCCGAATTATCGTGAAAAATTGCAGCAGGAAAATTACGCGCAATATTGTCCTGAAAATGTTCTCAAATTGAGACAAATTATCTGTCATGTCGCAATGGCCATAGTTTCCTGCGTCAGCTAGAACTTAGCGCTTATTCCATGCGCCCCGAATATCTGCAACCTTTGAATGATGTTCTTCTCATTATCACTGTCATTGATATTGTCACACAAATTGCAACATTGATGCGAAATGTTACAGAGAGGGATTTCCCTGTTTGCACTGCCATTGGTTGTTTATTCGTAGGCACTAACATACATGTCACGACCCCGCGCACTTCTACTGTTCATCCGCCGATCGGGTCCAATGTTGCCGCAACATTTGTTATATTTAAAAATACTCTGATTGGCCGCCACACTTGTCTCTTTTTAAATGTTCCACTTGCATGCTTGTTCGAATATTAAACACGATCCATTTGCTGCTCCCTACAGATCTGCAAGACTTCAAATCGGACACGCAGCACGTGATCGAGGTGGACGAAGGGAACACGGCGGTGATCGCCTGTAACCTGCCCGAGAGTCACCCCAAAGCTCAAGTGCGGTACAGCGTCAAGCAGGAATGGCTGGAGACCTCCAGAGGTGAGACATTTAAAGTGAAACTCTGTGCACATATCACATATCGGCCACACAACGGTCTTTCCACCTGAAATAACGTGGCCGCCGACTCGTGAATGCCAAAGCCCTGGCTTCCCAGGCCTGGCAAATCCATCACGTGGCTTTCAGCTCAGCCGTGGTCCTGGCTCTCTGCCTGCTGACAGTTGAGCTGGTCCCGGGAAGGTGATCGCACACCCCGCCTCCGCCAGGGACATGCCCAGAGCTGCCTGGGCTGCGGGGCTGACAATCCTGGCTGACACGGGAAGTCAAAATATATCAGGATAATGAAGAGCCGGGGAGCCTAGCGGGTGACTGAACAGAGCCACGCCTGAGGGCCTCATATCATCGCTTGTACTGCTCCACTGACAATACCCCCGATAAAACCCCCCCTTCCCTCTTCCTTTGCAGACTTAACCACTTCACTATCAGACTGAGAATCCAGCAGCATATCACAGCTGCCAATCCAGTATACAGTATCTATACACACTCCCCATCAGCCAGATGCACACCCAGAACTACTTATGTATAGTGCAAATATAACCTGATAGCATAGAGCCATTTATTCCAAACTGCCCACAGCTGTTCCAGGCTTCTTGGCCATCATCAGTGCAGTGCATGGAAACCATGGCTTCTATAGGGCAGGGCTCAGGGGCCAACGCATGAGGGAATGAGACACATAAAGACCTTCTGTTCTAAGAAGTCTTTATTATGCAATGCATTGATTCGGTTGGAGACAGGGAAGGACCTACAGCC